ATGATTAGGATGATAAGCAATAAAAAGCACCATAGATGAATAATAATATTGTCTTCAGTTGGTAGTTTTTTCGCTTCCCTCAAAGTTTCATCTCAAATTATTGTTCATTCAATCTTCATCCAGTCTTCATTTATTCACTCATTCATCATCTTGCCCAATTTTATCATCAACTTTATCATATTCAGCACTATTCTCATTATACACATAATCATCAATCCCAGTCTAGTTAGACATGAAACTCTCAACCTAAGCGAGTCACTCCAAGCCCCATCAACGTAACTTAAGATTAGCCTCTTGCTCTTGTACTTAACAAGTCTCGCTATTCACAGTCTAATTACATTCACGTGGTAAGTCAATTAAGGCTGACATTGATGAACCTCCCAACCTAAGCAGACTCCCTTCGTTGCATTTAATTCAGCAAGTAGGAAGACACTTTCACGTAAAGTACATTTCATTACCATTTCCATCATTCAACATGCAAGTCTGGCCAAGTCAGCCACTAAAGTATGCTAACCCACAAAAGTCTTTCACACTCTTTCGAGTTTATCATTTCAATCTTTTTCTTGCTCACAAAATGATGATATTCAAATGGCTTCTTACTTCATGTGATTGTAAATATTTACACTCTTTTCCAATCTCAAGTATTTTTGCTTTTAATTACAATTTCAGTTCATTCAGTTCAGCCAGTTTATTCACTTGTCCTATCAACTGATCGACTTGGTTAGATGGTGATTATTCAGTTTCAATCTTTCTTGTTGGTAATATTACTTCTTGACAAATGATTATTGTAACTATTTATGTCCATCAGAATGGTTAGTTAATGTTTCTGTTACTTGACCAGGGTAAATAATGATAATAATAATAATAATAAAGCCGTTTAGATTGATTAATTTTGATTTTGGGTTAGAGTTACTCGAAATCTGATGATTGACATAATGGTAATACCAGTGTTATTAGATGATATTATGTGCTGTTGAGAGTTGCAGTTAATTGATCAACGCTGTTATTAACTTTTTTTGCTTCTTCATTTGATTCTTTTGCTGTTGCAAGTTTCTCAATCAAATTAACCTTGTTACTGATTGCTTTTGAGTTGCAATTGCTAATGATGGTGAATATGATGATAATGGGGTAGAATATAATGTGAAACAACAGAAATATTTTTCCCTGCAATCTGATTGCTTGATACTCGATCAAATGATCACTGATGATGA